ACCTTTTGCTCATCATTTTCCCTCCTCAGCAAGTTCACTTCCCAAGTCAAAGTGAGTGCCTCAGTCCCTCCTGGAAATAAAATCAACCAGTCCCCTACTATGTGCACAGCACTCCGCTAGGTCCTACAAGGAACAAAAGTGAGAAAACAGCCTGGCCCTCAGTGAGCTTATAGTCTAATACAGCAGATGAGACAAGAGCAGAAATGCCCATAATACAAGTTAGAATAAAATGATTACCACACAAAAAGATGGACACGGATAGACAAATGGAAAACTAAACCACATCCATTTTTTTTATTTCACAAAAATCCTTATGGAGAAAGAAAAATTCCTACAAGTCTTACATTGTAAGTTTATGATTCGGACCAGAAAAGGTGAAAGACTAGGAATTTCAAACATTGAAAATTAGATGAAAAGACAATCCCATTAAACTAAAATATCAAGTATATGAAGGGGTTGGGTGTAAAGCAATATGAACTCAAGTTGTGAAAGGCCTTCACTAACAGGTTAAAAGTTTAGGAAGCTCAAGAAAGGCTTTCTTCCTGAATCTAACCCTTCCAAAATGTCCATCAGCAATTATGAAGTCCTCAACCTATTGGAGAAAAGGAAAAATAGTAACATTAAAACTGATAGGGAAAACAGCAATGCGATGTTTTATTGCTATTCTCTGGATTATATATTCAAAATTCTAATTTAAACAAAAAATTGCCATTTCAACAATTTGTGCATGTACAGTTCAGTAGCATTTATTACATTCATCGTGTTGGGCACCCATCACCACTATTAATTTCCAAGTATTTCCATCACCCTTAACAGAAGCTCAGTGTCCCCAAGCAGTGAGTCTCAAGAATTGAAAGCAGGAGCACAAACAGATACTTGTACACCACTGTTTACTGCAGCCTTGTTCACAATAGTCAAAAAGTGGCATCAGCTTAAATGTCCATGAACAGATGAATACATGTTTGCTTTCTTGTCAAATGAGAAAAATTCCTGAAGACAGACACCAAATGCAGTTACTTCCAGTCAAACACATGATGTACAAAGGAGTGGGCCAGCACTACTGGCTGTCTGTGTGACCAGACTAGGAGGCTCTGTGACATTTCTCGCATTGGTGTTTTCCAGGAGAGGCATGCCGCAGAGGTGCGCAGGAACAAGGAGCTCCAGGTTGAACTGTCTGGCTGAGGTGATGGAGGGTATGGCACGCCCCACCGTTAGTAAATCCCCCTGCCTATATTATAATGGATCATGCGATATCAGTATGGGAAATGTATGACATGGTTTAAAAAAAGAACTCATTATAAAAAAAAAAAGAATCAAAAATAAAAAAAATCAATGCGGTCTCTTTGCAGAATGTTTTGCTTGATGTTTAAAAAGTACCTTGGATCTTATTTTGTAAATACTTACATTTTTGTTAAAAAATACAAGTATTGCATTATGCAAGTTATTTCATAATCTTACATGTCCTGTAACAGGCTTTTGATGTTGTGTCTTTCCACTCAGATGAATTTGCTAGGTCTGTTCTTTTTGAGGCTTCCCATGTCTAACTCCATTCCCTACCCTTTTCATTCCAACAGAAAAACGAGGTCAGTAGACAGTCTATGGTGCTAGAAACCCAGCACTGCCTAATGACCTAGACAGCTTTGTAACCTCTGAGCTTGATTAAGACCATGCCTAGATCACAGGTATTATAACTCTGTATGAAACTCCACATTTGTTTACTCATAATCTACTTACCACTTAGAAACTACAACACCAGGCTAAGAAAAACCACCAATCATAGCATTTACTTCTGCTTCTACTGGATTATGTGCTGCAAATGTGCTTTGGCTTTAGAAAGGGATGGATGAGAAGACAGATCTCAATCTGAGTAGAAGCGAAAAGCTGACCTTTGACAGTGCTGAACACAAACCCAAACCCAAATGGTTTAAGCAGCCGCAAAAATGTTCTTCATAAAGTGGGCTTAATTCTCTAGTTTAAGTTATTTTAATGGAATGAATTAATTACTGTGTCAGGTGGCTTATTTGTGGATGCCATGATTGATGATGTTCATTTTAAGCTCTTACCTATAGTACAAGTTTATGATGCTACTGAATATTTTTCCACTTGGAAACTGCGCAAAAACAAAATCAAAAGCACTGCGGATTTTCATTCAAGCTGGTCTTTCTTCCCCAGTGTGAGGCAATCCTGTTTTTTAAAACAAACCACTTCCATCTGGGATGGCTGACGCAGTTAAGGGGGTGAGGCAGGGCATTTGTGCCAATTAAGAGACTCCCCAGATACCCACCATAAGTACCTAGTCGCAGTTTTGAAGTTGTTTCTCCCCCAACTCCTGAAGGTTGCTGCCTGCATATTTACTCTTCATTAGTGCTATTTTCCTGTATGTCATTGTGAGCAAGCTGTGATTAATAAAGAATTGGAGTTCTGTGAACTAATAAAGGTTTGGTCTGTTCTCTTGCTCCTTCATATGTCTGGCCCTGGAGTTCAGATTTTAAAAGGGTAGCCATTGGATCAGACATACCACAAGCAAAGAGACAATAATTAACATTTGAAAGAAAGCAATGCCTTGCTGATTCACTTCCTTTTTGAAGCAGCAAGCAGCATCTCTTTTCTCTCTTCCTCTGAAAGGCCCTCACAGCAGGAGAAGTCGTCAACCTGTTCTCCTTAAACAAACTCGGGACTGAACAAGGTGCCAAAGGTTCAGACCAACAATTGTGAGGAAGATGGGCCCTTTCAATGCACTTGGAAGGTTCCTGGCACCATTTCACTTGCCTGACCTCAAGTTTCTCCATGTGGCCCAAAGGACACCTTCCCTGGCCTAGGCCGTCTGTTGAATTGTGATTCCCCTGCCCTGCTGCTGAGTTTTGTGCTGCCAATAAATCTACTGAACATACTGCACACACAGACACAGCAGGTTCCTGTCCATGACCCAGATGGACCTACAAGACCAAAGCAACCACATCCAGTTTGAGCAGAAAATCATAAATGATTGAAACCACACAGATTTATGAGGTAGGTAATTGGCTACTGTCCACAGAAGCACTAACAAGCCAAGTGTAGGATTGAAGCCACCTGGTCTCTATCGTGAATGTGCTTTATTTGTGGGAATGTGACACTGCAACAAAGGATATACCTGCTTGAAAACATGAGCTCCATTACCTTCCTTTGGGAATCATCAGAGTTTCTAATTAGCAAGAAATAAGCTGTAGTTTCATCCTGGTTTTATAGAACATAGTTCAAAAAGCATTACTTGAGTGAATTTCATTGGCCCAGACCCTGTGCTAAGCTCTGGACACTTGAAAATGAATGACTGCAAGAAGCACACAGCCTAGTAGCTAATTTTGGCCCCAAACTAACAAACCGGATATTTTGGTCAGCCTGTGTATCATACTTAGAAAAAACACATAATGCCTATTAAGCTTTCTGAAATATTAAAAGTAGTTAACAAACCTCTTAAACTACTTTGTGAGTCTCCAGAATGGAACTGCTGACTAGTCCAATTGCCTGATTTCAAAGGTGAAGAAACTAAGATACATAGTGGTAAGTGATTTGCTCCAGGTCACAATACTCCCATCTCAGGATTCCTCTCCTCATGAGTAGCTCTTCAGCAGGCCCTCTCCAACTCTCACCACATCAGTAAAGATGGTTATTTCTATGAAGCTTCCTAGTTCCAGTGGTCCTCAAATTTTAGCATGCTTCAGAGTCATCGGTTATGAGATCGCTGGGCCCCACCCCCAGTTCCTGATTTCTTAGGTCAGCCCTGAAGCCCAAGCATGTGCACGTCTAACAAGTTCCCAGGTGATGCTGATGCTGCTGTCTCCAGACCTCACTGGAGAAGCCCTGTTATAAACAGTGAAACGGATCCAGGTGTGGATTCTCATTCCTTTCCCTACTGCAGGTATCTGTTTCAATCAGGCCATGTTTCATGGGGGTGGGAAGTGAACAGAAACTCTTTCAGTCTTATGGAGGTAGGGTGCAAAGAATTCCAAAAAGGAAAAAATACTGAACAGCTATAACTTGCAGGATATTAAGACAAAAGAAGATGCATGTAGGAACTAGGGTGAAGAAACAAATGCGATCAGAGAACCAATGCTTAACATCTCTCACACAGCGTATTATTTCAACAGAACTTTAAACCTCTGAAGATACTCTGTACCTACTAAGAGATGAGCTAAGAGCTCTTGCAGGGGTGATCACATTTCCTAACTTACCCAGTTTGCTAGCCTCGTTCTTCTACTTATACATATTTTCAATAGAAATTCTTGGTTTCCTCAGTATTATGTTTAAATTGTGTAAGTACATGTTTTTGAAAAGTTTTGTGAAAATTCACAAAATCCCAATTGGTTTGATGACTCACCCTCCTCTCATATCTCTTCTAAACACAAAAATGTATGGAACGGAATATTGACAAACCCTGTTCTCTGCTGAGAACCCTGCCTTTGATATGGAGACACTAGCCTTCACAACACCTTACAGCAGAAAATAAATGTAAATATGTGCTGACAGCCATTCTCCACCCCATCCAGTCCCTTCCCACTAGCGGAGAGAATGAGAAGAAGGAGAGATGACATCCTGGGTTTTAGCAACTGAATAATCACCTTTCTGTCCCCAGCTCTGAAGACAATCATCCTTTATTTCTAATCATCCTTGAAAATTGCCAAGACAAACACAGAGCACAAAGCAAAGCTAAGGTCCATAAATTCCCCCAATTACCTCAGAGTTATCTTCAACTCCTCCCTGTCCCACTCCTCCCACCTCCAACTGATCATCAAGTAGCATCAGTTTGACCTCAAATTGTTCTGCCTTCCTTCCATCTTTTCTACTTCCACAACCAGAGCCCTTTTAGACCCCTGCAACAGCTCCTAACAAATCTTTTCTCCAGTCTCCAGCCTCCTCTACACACGGATCAAGTCTCTCTCAAACACCACTGCCCTCTCCCCTTTATCTGCAGTGTAAAATCTGTGTCCTCTACTTGCCACCATCCCTTTATCTCCCCAAGAACACTATTCTCCTTGAACACAAAATTATTCACCCTGATATGCCAAAGACATGACATTGCAGGTCTCTACCATGCCTCACTGTCTAGAATTATTTTCACTACAAAATCAGATAGGAAAGGCTAGGTAAGGCTGTGATTTAAAAAAAAACAAAATTTCAGTGAATCAAGACCAGAAAGGTTTATTTCCTGCTCCCACTACATCTCCAACAACATGGGTCGCTGTGGATTCTGTGCTATGTCATTCTTTACTCCAAGACTGGTAGAGCTACCGCTATCTAGAACACTGTTGGCCACTGTGGCAGAGAGAAAGTGAGAGCAGAGCAAACCATGCACTCACTGCCACCAAGTCAATTTTGACTCATAGCAATCCCTAGTGGGTTTCCACGGCTGTAAAACTCTATGGAAGTAGATCACCCCATCTTCCTTCTGGGGATCAACTAGTGGGGGGTTTGAACCAGTGACCTTCTATCCACTATGCCACCAGAGCACCTAAACCATGCACTGGCTCTTTTAAAGCTTCTGTCCAGACGTGACACACATCACATTTCACTGCCAAAGTGATAGAACCACATTTAATTCTAAATGAGCAGGAAAGTGCAAACCCATCATGAGCTAAGAAGGAGGTAAGCCAAAAATATTTGGTGAACACCACCTTTCTGATCCCTAAATATTTGGCTCACTCTCGTACACACATGCAAGGTATACTCTCACAGCTCTGATGTGTGGGATGGCTTGTACACAGCATTATTATGACAATGTTGTTATGTTGTTATTTGCCATCGAGTCGGCCCCGACTCCTAGCGACCCCTCCTTGGGTTTCCGAGGCAGTTATCACTACAGAAGTAGGATTGCCCAACCTTCCTTCCGAGGAGTGGCTGGTGGGTTTGAACCACCAGCCTCCTGGTTAGCAGTCAAGTGCCTTGGCACTATGCTACCAGAGCTCCCTATTATGACAATAGCTGATTAGCTGATTAATATCTGAGAAGATTGTTGAGAAGATTAAATGAGGTAATATAGAAGGCCGTAGCATGGTACCTGGTGCATAGTAAATACTCAGTCATTTTTTTAAGAATTTGTAGATATTATTTACATTTTATTGTGATTTGGGTAAAAGTTTGCAGAGAAAAATCATTTTCCATTCAACAGTTCATACACATTTTGTTTCATGACACATTGATTACAATCCCCACAATATTCCCCATGACATAACAGATCTCTTCCTGCTTCTGCCCTGTGGTTACCTTTTCCCTGTGTTCTCTTCTATGCATTTGGGTCCTCTGAGCAATCTCCTATGTAAATACTGCCCTTTTGATCTATGGTTGATTGTTCTAAGGACTGTATCTAAACTCACTGCCATGGAGTCGATTCACTCAGAGTGACTCCTACAACACAGTATCTATCCAGAAGTAGGTTGCCCAATCTTCCTTCTGAGGAGTGGCTGGTGGGTTTGAACCTCCCGCCTTCTGGTTAGCAGTCAGCTAACCAGAATGCCTTAGGCACTACACCACCAGAGCTCCCATGATGAACATGGATGTTTGTATTTCTATTCATGCCCCAGCTATCACTTCTTAGGATATATGCCTAGTAGTGGGGTTGCTGAGTCAAATGGTACTTCTATTTCCAACTTTTAAAAAAAGT